CAGGAGTTCCTTTTAGATTCATCCATGCTAAAATAAGGAACTTCCCATTTTAAACTTGCTGACCTAACTACATCATGTTCTGCCTTGAAAAAAACAAAGTATGTCTCTAAATGAATTTGGACGTTCATTAGACCTGAGGAGGGTCTGGGGCCGAAACGTTGTACATGAACTATTTTGTACCATTACGCACCTGACGCCGTTGTCATACTGGCATGGATGGAGCTAAAACAACTCTTTTGTCTTTTGTTGATGAGGGCACAATGTTGTAACATGGTTGAAAGATCAAAGGACAATTTCTTCCTTTAAAAAAATGTATTTCTTTTTTTAATTATTATTTTTATCTGTCAGAAAAAGAATCAGTTTAACATAAAAATACAAGATACACTTACATAACTAGTGTACCACCCACCCTCCCTCATACCCCATTCACACACACTCACTCATTCGAACTGTATTTTGAAAGGTTGTCAGTCTGTTTTAATTGTCCTGTTTAAGGAAATGATGCTGCTTTCAAGGGACCCAAAAAACAATAACCACCATTTGGTTGTGTGGCTGTTGGTCACTATTATTGTGCAGACTCATTAATTATTATTATTATGATTACATTCATGTACATTGAAGAAAAAAAAAGAAAAAAGGACAATTTCTTTAATGTAATTATTGCACATTGTATTTGTCTGAACAGTAACACATGAAACTGAACAGAAACCCTACCCACCCAGGCACAGGGAGAACGTGCAAACTCCACAGAGAATCCCTGGCTTAGCTCGGTGCAAAAAACAATCACTGGTCCATACATGTCCCATCAGCCAGCTCTCGTGTCCCTCGTCCAGCTCCACAAATAGCAACAGAGGCAGCGACATCCTGGAAGTGAAACCAGGCACATTACGCACAGATCAGAATAGAGCTGAAGCCCGAGCCGCGTCTGGAGCCAGAGGCCTCAACACAGCCTCACAGCTGACCAGACCGAGACCTCAACACAGCCTCACAGCTGACCAGACCGAGACCTCAACACAGCCCCACAGCTGACCAGACCGAGACCTCAACACAGCCTCACAGCTGACCAGACCGAGACCTCAACACAGCCTCACAGCTGACCAGACCGAGACCTCAACACAGTCTCACAGCTGACCAGACCGAGACCTCAACACAGCCTCACAGCTGACCAGACCGAGACCTCAACACAGCCTCACAGCTGACCAGACCGAGACCTCAACACAGCCTCACAGCTGACCAGACCGAGACCTCAACACAGTCTCACAGCTGACCAGACCGAGACCTCAACACAGCCTCACAGCTGACCAGACCGAGACCTCAACACAGCCTCACAGCTGACCAGACCGAGACCTCAACACAGCCTCACAGCTGACCAGACAGGACTGCAGGGGTTATACATGATGTTTCATTGAGAGTCAGTCGTTTGCAGATGTTGTGAATTTTGGATTAAATTATTAAAAACTACTTACTAACAAAGGTTGTCAGGAACAACCCATTTATCAATTTGCCAATTAAATTGACAGTTTTTGAGTAATCGGCCAAGATTTCACAGATTTTACAATTGGGAATGACTAGTTTTACCACCTTCAGTACCCTGTGAAATATTGGTAGTTTTGCCTGAAACTACTAGTACATCCGTGTATAATATGTCTTTCAAAAGTATTAATACATTTACAGTAAAATATGAAAATGTTGTTGGCGGCTCTGACATGTGCAGGAGTTCATTGTGTATTAATACTATGGCAAGGCACTGTATAAGTTATGCTAAATGCAACCCAACACTTGCATAAGCCTGACTGAGACATGTTGTTTTACTGCTTCACTGTACTCACAACAAAAAGAAGTGTGGTCTTTGTTTTTCTCAATCTGTGCAAAGTTTGTCACGGAGCTAATGGCAAGGGCAGCTAAGCTGTTTACTGCTGTACATTTACTTATCCCTGTCACATGCTGTAACAACAGCCACAAATAAAAGGCAGGAGCAGAAAATACCCAGAATCCTTCACATATTTATTTTTGACATCAAAGGTCTGCAGCTCATTGCACTAGCCCCGAAGCCAAAACAGGTTAGCCTAAAGTAAAACAAACAATATGGACATGCTTTAGGTTTTACCCATTGTATAGTTCAGTGTCTCCCAAAGTGGGGTCCGCGGCCCCCTGGTGGGCCGCGAGGGTACTGCAGGGGGGCCGCGGGAGGTCATAAAAAAAATAAAAAAATAATATTATTATTTAATGTTAAATTTATAATGTTTTGTTTGTAATATTAAAGTATTTGTGTTCATTATTTTACTTGAATAATCCACTGTAATCATTTTTGTATTACAATGTTTGTAGCAGAGGCTATTTCCCCAAAATAAAATAACCAGAAGAGCCTATTCTTAATGTTGTCTTCTTGGTTATTATTTTGGGGGGCCACGCAGACCCGTCAGATTTTTAAGGGGGCCTCGGTGTTACTGAGTTTGGGAATGGCTGGTATAGTTGATTAAACAACAACAGATCAGAGAATCAAACAATTCGAACACGGGAAATGCAATAATAAAACAACGTTTACCGGGACCGGGATGACCAATGTCCGTAAATGTTACTAAATGCGCATTTACAGTATGTGTAGGATCATCACTGCCCGTAAGGACCCTCTTCCACCTGCATTGGAACAACTACAAGAAAAGTGTGACGGTAGAGCCAGGACTGAGGCTGTAGACCCAGGACTGAGGCTGTAGACCCAGGACTGAGGCTGTAGATCCAGAACTGAGGCTGTAGAACCATTACTGAGGCTGTAGACCCCGGACTGAGACCGTGGTACCAGGATTGAGACTGAAGAACCAAGACCATACACACATCTGTTAAGCATCATCCATCCATCCATCCATTTTCTACCCTTTAATCCATTTCTGGGACAGGGGGGTGGCAGTCAGAGATGCCACCCAAGTCTCATAGCACCAGCCCCTCACTGACCCTCTGCAGGTGGTGAGTCCACAGGAGGACGGCTGCTCTCTGAGTGTGAGCATAGCCTTGATCTTTCAGTGGGGGCTTTTTGGGCAAAGTGGGGGCTTTTTGGGCAAAGTGGGGTTAAGTGTCTTGCCCAAGGACACAACGACAGCAGTCATCAGTGGGTGTCAGTGGAGAAGGTGCAGAGGTGGGAATTGAACCTACAACCTTCTGCTCTACCAATGAGCTACTGTTGCCCCCGCCTGTTAAGCATCATGAGATAAGATATTCCTATATTCGTCCCACAGTGGGGAGATTTCAGTGTCATTGTTGCGCACATTACAGCAGAGAAAAGGAAGGAAATGAGACTCTGGTTGCTCACATCATTGAGTCATTTACATTTTCTTCATCACTCTACAGCAGATTGAACCATCACCCTAAACCATATCCTGCACAATTAGACATGCTCATCACGTCTCCTAATGTTTCAGCTGAGATCTCTTTTCCTGCTCTGCTCCTGGATCTTTGCAGAGGATTAATCCATTGTGCACCTTTTTAGGACTTGAAAGCATTTGTAACATTCCTGGTTCTGGGCTGGCGTTGGCAGGCTGCCGTTATTGCTTGTGGAAATGTCAGCCTTGCGGAGGCTCTGTATCCAGTCCGGCCTGAGCTCGGTGTGAGCGCGGCGTGTGGGGTCATGGAGGCTCAGGTTCCCTCCGCAGATATCCTTACACTGGATCACTTACCACACTGAAGGAATGCCACTGTTTAACTCTGCAGATTCATTAGACACTCATTACTAGAGACAGGAATTGGTAAAAATTTGACGATTAGAGTGTATTGCAATATTTGGGCCTCAATTCAATATTCTTGCTATTCGTAGCAATTCGATTCTGCAAAATATATTGCGATTCATGTCCCTCACATTTTGCAAAGGCTTTACAAAGATTGAGAAAAATAAGACCAACTCAAATGTGACATTTATTATGGTCCGCACATTAACTGAAGAGCAAAAACGTTATGCTTGAACATTCAGGACGCATGACCTTATTACAGACAAGACATTATTCTCTCACATAAATTATTCAAAAACAACATGATAGAGTAACATTAACTACAAATGTAAATTGCCAGAGTAAACACAAAAGTCAAAAAGATAATTATTTAATTAGATATCACCATACTTGGCTCTAGGGGTGTGACGATATATCGATATATCGCGATACTTTCTCCCATGATTCGATTATCGATATGCATTTACCAAGTATTGATATCAATTTGGAAAAAAAACACGTTCTTTTTTTTTTTTTTTACATGTTTTTTTATTTTATTGGACGCATCTCCATTCCATTTATCATGAAATAAAGTTGTATTTTTTCTTTTATTTATGCCATAAATTGGCATATTGTATATTTCTGACCAATATATCGATAATTGTCATATTGTGATAAAATCGTTATCGTGATATCGTTATCATGAGAATATCGTTATCGTGAGCTTTGTATCGTGAGGTACCCTTAGGTTCCCACCCCTACTTGGCTCTATACTGTATGGATTTTATTGCTTGTACAAAATATTGATATACTACTGATACTTCGAATAATTCCCCCCACCACCACTTCAGGAAGGCCACTGTTCATTTTCACAGATGATTCATTTGTCACTCATAACAGGCAAAGTGAGATCAATGTTGATAACAGCTGTAAGAATCCCAAAGAACACACCTCAGGAAAATAAAATAACAAAAGCATATGTCACTTTGCAAGTAGTGCGTGGCCGTACCTGTATGTGAGAGCCATGTCCCGTCAGACCTCAGCAGCTCAGCAGGGCAGGGGTGCAGCCCACGAGTCCGGGGAAGACGTTAAATCATAAACAAGATAAGACACATGTTACATTTGGCATAGATAGAGTCACTGAGGTTGCACCAGGAAGTGTGACAGGAAGTGTGCAAACATGTTAAAGGATAAGGATATATTATGTACAAATGGCTCTAGCAGTGCACGTTTTTTTTTCTTTTTTCAAATAAACAATGTTCAAATCTGTGTAAATATAATGCTGTTTGTGCTTGTGTTTCGCAGCTGGTGTGTGGGCACGATGAGCCTCTCTCTCCCCTGAGCTCCACGGTCACAGCCTCAGGTGTGGGGGACATGGCCGACCGCGAGGCCCCGCCCATGGCTCCGGGGCAGGTCTACATCGAGGTGGAGTACGACTACGACTACAAGGCAAAGGACAAGCTGGTGAGCATCCGCCAGGGCGAGTGTTACCTGCTGGTGAAGAAGACCAACGAGGACTGGTGGCAGGTGCGGAGGGACGAGGCCACCAAGACCTTCTATGTCCCCGCCCAGTACGTGAGGGAGGTGAGGCGGGCGCTGCTGCCGCCGCTCAGGCCCAAGCCCACCGTGCTGGAGATCTGCAGAGCCTCCGTAAGTGCCACGGCAGCACACTGCTACACACTCATACACACTGCTACACACTGCCACACACTGCTACTGACTGCTACACACTGCTTCACACTGCTACACACTGCCACACACTGCTACTGACTGCTACACACTGCTTCACACTGCTACAGACTGCTACACACTGGTACACACTGCTACACGCTGCTTCACACTGCTACACACTGCTACACACTGCCACACACTGCTACACGCTCATACACACTCATCCACTGTGAGTGATGGGGCTCATTATCCAAATCCTATTTAAGAATAATAAATAGATGATCTGAATAATGGCAGAATGTCAAGGACTACAGGTGGAGAGTAGCTGGTGCTAAATCTGGTGCTGCCATCTTTTTAATGCAACTGCACAGGGTCCTCAATAAATCAAACTTCAATGTACAACATAGAACCCCATGTGTCCACCGCAGATTTACCTAGCCACTTTGTCCCAGAGCCTCATGCTAACACGTACAGGTGTATACATATAACTATTTCTTGCACTGGAATATAGACTATTTTATACTTGCTTCTTTATTATGCTAATGTTAGAGATTTTGTTTTATTTCATTATAGCGTTATTACATTTACCTCATTCCTACTGTTCTGTAACTTTCCTACTGTTTTATACGTTTCCCCACTTTGGGACAAAATAAAGGATCAACTCTTAATCTATTTGATTGTATAGCACATTTACAAAGCCTGAGAATTCAGAGTACTCTTAAAAAGAAACATGGTTAGATAAGTGTTCAGATTGAAGATTTTATTTCAGCGTAGTACCTGGTATATTCTAAAAAGAGACACTTACAAGCCGGGTGTGTGACCCTCTTTCCACCTCTACTAATAGAATTGCTTTTAAAATCTGGTGCGTGGACCTAACTCGTTGATGTCTGCTCTCTGACAGAGCTATGCATCGGACGAGAACTTGAACCGGCCGCAGCCCGACATGACCAGCTTCGGCCGCCCTCCCCCGTCCTCTACGCCCTCTCCCTCCTCAGACCGGGTCACTCCCCCGGCTCTGCCCCGAGACCCCAACCACAACCACACCCAGAGCCAGCCGCCGCCGCTGGCCAGCCCGCACCACTGCAGGGTGGTGGCCGAGCTTGTACTGCTTCACAACCACAACAACCAGAACGCACTACAGAGGACGCGCTCCGACTCGCCTCCGCTACGGGACGCTCTCAAGGCCCGGTCCCCGACAGAGCCACCCCCGGGGCAGCCACCTCCGGGACAGCCGCCTCCGGGGCAGCCGCTGCGACACGACTCTGAGTCTGGAGACGAGCTCAGCAGCAGCAGTACGGAGCGCACGCAGGTAAGAGGCTCATGCTCCGCTCATGTGAGTTTTTGTCTGGGACTGTTAAAGGTTCAATATTTTGCTCTTCTTCATGTCTCACCGTCCATCCCAAGCACAAATTATAGCCATCGCTTGCATAGAGGTGATACTGCCTCAGATTTTCTTCTCCAGCTCAATGCCACGTCACAAATTGAACCGAGATATTCGCTGTCTCCCGAGAACGAAAGAGAAAGATTGTTCTCTAACTCAAGCTTGAGAAAATCCATGAAAAAACCACTTTGAGCATGTGTATGAAGGCCAAGTATCATTGTTTTGATGTTGGCTAATGCTAATTGTAAACAGGACGTCTGCTAAATTGTGTTTTCTTATTGTAGCTCCTACAATACTTCTCTGTCCTGTCCTCTGCTTTGAGAGTTTCATAGTTGACAACACTAACGAAGCAACATTTAGCTTACCTTGTCAACAGGAGCCATTTCATATTCTGATTTGAATGAAAACCGTATGTAGTTGTCTGAGTATTATGGGATTACTGAAAACCAACAGATATTTAAATACATTCAAATATCCGGCTGGATGCGCATTACCCACCTCTGCAAATTCTTTTTCTACCGACCAAAATCTTAGTACTTTAAGACATGTTTTTTTTTATGTTATGGGGTTAAAATAACTTTCTGTGTGATGGCACCGTGTGGAGCTAACAGGCAGGTGCAAAGTGGCTCTCGTAGGAGGTAGCCAAGTGTTCACGAACTGATGGATATTATTTTAGGTCTGAGTATTTAGGTCTGTACTTTCTGACTGCTCTCCTCTGACTCAAAAGACTTCTTCCATCAGCACCTGTCATGTTTCCGAGTCTGAAAAGTACAAAAAGACGATAATTCTATTAATTGGAAGCAGTTCTGAAATATGCACACTAGGGGTGTGACGATATATCGCGATATCAATATATCGCAATACTTTCTCCCACGATTTGACTATCAATAATTTTTTTTTTTAAATTAGTATCAAAAAAGGGTATTTTTTCACTTAACATTTTTCTTTTATTCATGCCATAAATTGGCATAAGGCATATTTCTGACCAATATATCGATAATCGTCATATTGTGATAAATTCGTTATCGTAATATTATTGTTATCGTGAGCTTTGTATTGTGTATCGTATCGTATCGTCAGGTACCCTTAGGTTCCCACCCCTAATGCACACACGCAGACACACATACACACACACTAGCAGACAGGCACACACACAGATACACACATACACGAAGCGACACATACATCAGAGAAGCATATGTTTATTTGAAATAACAATATTTATATTTATATATATATTTCAAAATTCAAGTTAAAAATGAAAAATGTCAGATTTGTTTTGATTTCAATAAAAGAAAATAACCAACTCATTATGCTGATTATCAGTCAAATTCTTAATCTTAATACAATTGTGCATTATGATCCAATATTTACAGCATTGTGGATCCGTTTTTCCATTGATCATCCATGAATCATTATTCATGTCAGAATCAGAATCATTTTTATTGCCACGTAAGTAACAGGAGGTCACAGACTTGGAAATTGCTTTGGCTCAGTGCAACAGTCAAAAAGAGATAATAAAAATAAGAATAAAAAACACTTCTAAAGAATACATTTAAATTTAAAATAGAGTTACAGTTACTATTTACAATATACAAGTGCACATGGTGCACACAATGTAAGGTGACAGCAGTACAGTGAAGTAAAGTGACGTATGATGGGCAGTAAAGTGACTTTATAAAGGGCGGGGGGACAGGTTAAGAAGTGTTCAAGAGTCCAACAGCAGAGGGGAAGAAACTGTTCTTGTGGCGGGAGGTTCTAGTCCTGATGGACCGCAGCCTCCTGCCTGAGGGGAGTGGTTGGAATAGTCCATGTGCAGGGTGAGAGGGGTCGGCTGTGATACGACCAGCCCGGCCTCGAGCTCGGGCGACGTACAGGTCCTGCAGCGATGGGAGGCTGCGGCCAATCACCTTCTCTGCAGAGCGCACAATGCGCTGTAGTCTCTGTTTGTCCCTGACTGTGGCTCCAGCGAACCACACGGTGATGGAGGAGGTGAGGATGGACTCGATGATGGCCGTGTAGAACTGCACCAACATCTGTGCAGGCAGCTTGGCTTTCCTGAGCTGCCGCAGGAAGTACATCCTCTGCTGGGCCTTCTGGATGAGGGAGCTGATGGTCGGCTCCCACTTGAGGTCCTGGGTGATGGTGGTGCCCAGGAAACGAAATGACTCCACAGAGGTGATGGGGGAGTCCATCACGGAGGGTGGGGGCGGGGGGACAGTGCTCTTCCTGAAGTCCACAATCCTCTCCACTGTCTTCTGGGCGTTCAGCTCCAGGTTGTTACCACTGCACCAGGACACCAGCCGGTCCACCTCCCTCCTGTAGGCGGACTCATCGTTGTTGGAGATGAGTCCAATGAGGGTGGTGTCGTCCGCGAACTTGATCAGCTTCACGGAGTCGTGGCTGGAGGTGCAGTGGTTGGAGGTGCAGTAGTAGGTGCAGTAGGAGGAGGTGCAGTGTTTGGTGTACAGGGAGAAGAGCAGGGGAGAAAGAACACAGCCCTGTGGGGCTCCTGTATTTATAATCCGAGAGTCCGAGACATTCTTCCCCAGACGCACTTGTTGCTTCCTGTCCGTCAGGAAGTCAGTGATCCACCTGCAGGTGGAATCAGGCACGTTGAGCTGGGAGAGCTTGTCCTGGAGCAGGGATGGCAGGATTGTGTTGAAGGCAGAGCTGAAGTCCACGAACATGGACTTGTTGCTCTGACTCTGAAAGTAAAACCTTTTTAAACCAGGGTGGTTCAAAGTGGCATGTTGTGGTCGGTGGAGTTTTTCAAATTTGTCATAAAAGGACAAAGTGCATGAAAATGGAAGATAGTCTGGTTATCCTGGTCATGTCATCTGCACTGTTGCAAGACATGTTGATTGGCACACAATCAATGGTTTTGTGCGATATTTGTGGTCTCCTCTGAAGCTCAGATGGAGAGGAAGTGTGTTTGTATTTGTACGTGTGTGTGTGTGTGTGTGTGTGTGTGTGTGCGCCTAAACCTAACCCACACTCGCGCCGGCCACACTGCTCTGCTCTTTGTTCTGGCCACTGCTACAACAAAGACAGTGTGACTGAGAGGGGAGGGAGGGAGGAGTTGTGGGAGGAGGGATGGGGGGAGAAAGTAGGTCAGCGGTGTGTCTGTCTGCGGCGTGGGGGTCCGTCTGTGATGTGCCACAGGAAGTACTCCAGTCTCCTCGCAGCACAGGTCTCCCTCCGCACCGCACATGCTCCAGGCTTAAGGCCCAAGCTCCGGGTCTGACACAGTTCAACCACAAAACCCACTTACTCCATTAAAAGCTCTGTATTAATTTAATTGATTATTTTTATTTATTTGAATTGCTCCAAACCATGTGGAACTACAGCGTTGAACTATCTACGCCACTTGTTTTACACTGAGGCATTTCTCCGCTCTGCACCTGCACTGCACTGAAGGCGATGAGCAAGAAAAATTCAAGTCTTGCCTAAGGACACAACAATGGTTTGGCACTTTACAGCCGCAGCCGCCACACTGGCTCCTGGTGTTCCCAGAGGTCTCCCATCACAGCACAAACCAGGCCCTGCCCTTCTTAGTTTCAGAGGTCTGACTAGCACTGGCTTTTATTTGCAGGTGGCGCAGCAAACAAACATCTTCACAACAGATATATTAGATATGCATTTAGGAAGTAAATATGCCGTGTGAAGCGTCTTTGAGCGCTATATAAAACCAATGCGTTATTATTATTATTATTATTATTAAAAACTGGACAATTGCGTAATCAATAATTAAAGGAAATGGGTGTTTACACTAGTACGGAACTGACTGAGACGACACATTTTGGCTCAAATGAGGGTACTGCTCTGCTGCTGCTCCGTGAGTCAAATCAATGCACAAGTTTACAGAGTGATTTGTTTTATAGAACAGTTTTTTCTTTTCCATGTGACTCCGGCTGTAGAGCAAGGACTCCGGAAATAATGATACGCGGCTGTGTAGATTATTATGGCAAGTGAAAGCACACACTGCTCTCACAACGCTTCCACAAAGCGACAAATAACAAATGTTGCTGTCACTCTGAGAAGAATCCTCATGTTCTGTGTTTGAGTGGGCTGTGGATGAGGAGCAGGAGGAGCAGCAGGAGGAGGAGGAGGAGGAGCAAGAGGAGGGGGAGCAGGAGGAGGAGGAGGAGCAAGAGGAGGGGGAGCAAGAGGAGGGGGAGCAAGAGGAGGAGGAGGAGGAGGAGGAGCAAGAGGAGGGGGAGCAGGAGGAGGAGCAAGAGGAGGAGGAGCAGGAGGAGGAGGAGGAGCAAGAGGAGGGGGAGCAGGAGGAGGAGGAGGAGCAAGAGGAGGAGGAGCAGGAGGAGGAGGAGGAGCAAGAGGAGGGGGAGGAGGAGGAGGAGCAAGAGGAGGAGGAGCAGGAGGAGGGGGAGGAGGAGGAGGAGCAAGAGGAGGAGGAGCAGGAGGAGGAGGAGGAGCAAGAGGAGGGGGAGCAGGAGGAGGAGGAGGAGCAAGAGGAGGAGGAGGAGCAAGAGGAGGAGGAGCAGGAGGAGGAGGAGGAGCAAGAGGAGGGGGAGGAGGAGGAGGAGCAAGAGGAGGAGGAGCAGGAGGAGGAGGAGGAGCAAGAGGAGGGGGAGCAGGAGGAGGAGGAGGAGCAAGAGGAGGAGGAGCAGGAGGAGGAGGAGGAGCAAGAGGAGGAGGAGCAAGAGGAGGAGGAGGAGGAGCAAGAGGAGGAGGAGCAGGAGCAAGAGGAGGAGGAGCAGGAGCAAGAGGAGGAGGAGCAGGAGGAGGAGCCCACTCACTGTCTCCTACTCACCTACGGCCAGATCACTGCATCACAGATTGTCGGAGCAATGGGGCTAGAATTAAGTGTTGAAAAGAACACAATATTATAATCTGGTTTAGGCAAGGCGAGTTTATTTGTATTGCACAGTTCATAAACAAGGCAACTCAAAGTGCTTAAAAAAACAAGATTGAAACAATACAAGGCATTCAAAGAACAAAGATCAGAGACTCCAACGGTTCCAGCACAGGAAATAGAATAACAAACACATGGGAGAAATCTGGCTGTAGATCCAGGACTGATGCTGTAGATCCAGGACTGAGGCTGTAGATCCAGGACTGATGCTGCAGATCCAGGACTGAGGCTGTGTAGATCCAGGACTGAGGCTGTAGATCCAGGACTGAGGCTGTAGATCCAGGACTGAGGCTGTGTAGATCCAGGACTGAGGCTGTAGATCCAGGACTGAGGCTGTAGATCCAGGACTGAGGCTGTAGATCCGGGACTGAGGCTGTAGATCCAGGACTGAGGCTGTGTAGATCCAGGACTGAGGCTGTAGATCCAGGACTGAGGCTGTGAAGATCCAGGACTGAGGCTGTAGATCCAGGACTGAGGCTGTAGATCCAGGACTGAGGCTGTAGACCCAGGACTGAGGCTGTAGATCCAGGACTGAGGCTGTAGACCCAGGACTGAGGCTGTAGATCCAGGACTGAGGCTGTAGATCCAGGACTGAGGCTGTAGATCCAAGACTGAGGCTGTAGATCCAGGACCGATGCTGTAGATCCAGGACCGAGGTTGTAGATCCAGGACCGAGGTTGTAGATCCAGGACCGATGCTGTAGATCCAGGACTGAGGCTGTAGATCCAGGACTGAGGCTGTAGATCCGGGACTGAGGCTGTAGATCCAGGACTGAGGCTGTAGATCCGGGACTGAGGCTGTGTAGATCCAGGACTGAGGCTGTAGATCCAGGACTGAGGCTGTGAAGATCCAGGACTGAGGCTGTAGATCCAGGACTGAGGCTGTAGATCCAGGACTGAGGCTGTAGACCCAGGACTGAGGCTGTAGATCCAGGACTGAGGCTGTAGACCCAGGACTGAGGCTGTAGATCCAGGACTGAGGCTGTAGATCCAGGACTGAGGCTGTAGATCCAAGACTGAGGCTGTAGATCCAGGACCGATGCTGTAGATCCAGGACCGAGGTTGTAGATCCAGGACCGAGGTTGTAGATCCAGGACCGATGCTGTAGATCCAGGACCGATGCTGTAGATCCAGGACCGAGGTTGTAGATCCAGGACTGAGGCTCTAGATCCAGGACTGAGGCTCTAGATCCAGGACTGAGGCTCTAGATCCAGGACTGAGGCTCTAGATCCAGGACCGAGGTTGTAGATCCAGGACCGAGGCTGTAGATCCAGGACCGAGGTTGTAGACCCTGGACTGAGGCTGTAGATCCAGGACTCAGACGGCTCCTTTCCACCCGGTGCTCTCGGGGCTCTTCTCGCCATGATGTTTGGCACATGACAGGTTTCCGCTTGACTTGTGCGTCTCGTTCCTGTCAGCGATAATGGAAAGTGTCAGGAAATGGCACGTTCTTTCTGAGTGCTGCAGCGGAGAGGTCAACACACACAACTCACAGTGACCAGACCCAAGTCTACGTCCTCCTGAGGGCTGCGACTCTTCAGTCCGGTCAAAATACTACATTTCAGACTCTTTCAATACTAGGAAAAAATAGAATAAACTTAGTTGGGTAATACGTTGTTAACACGGTTTAAAATTGTTTTGGGAAAATGCTCGAGAAATGTCAAATGGGTAATAATTATTAGTATAGTTTAGTCCTTTGTGTGTCATCTGTTAGTTACTTTTAGAATGATGTATTTATTTGTTTTGTTTTTATGGACAGATTTGTTTCTGCTGCTGGACACCTTAATTTCTCCTGTAGGGATCAATAAAGTATCTATTTATAGAGATTAGTTATAATAATACTCAACACTCGATATCCTGGTGCACACTGGGGTACTCTTGCACAGTTATTCCAATGTGGTTTTACTGCAAATTCCAAATAAACTGATTCTGATACTTCTGACAACAAAACGTACGCAAATAAAATAATACTGTATATCTTTTCTACTTTTCTCTCTCCTTCTCTTCTTTAAAACAAACCTATTCAATATGCATCAATATCCATAAAGGCTTGTGCAATTACCTTGAAATATGTTCTAATTGCTAACTGGCACATTAGCATTAGCCCTTACCACAGGGGTGTCCAAACTTTTTAGTTAGTTCATCAGACTTGACCTGGGCTGACAACCTGGATTTAAAAACTGGTTTCAAGCTGGATTGACTAGATTCTGGAATTAAAAATGGGTTATGATACGTCCTGTTTGATTCACACCACAGCTGCATTTTATTTGGAATGTTGTGACACAATCATGAAAAAATGTCAGTAAATAGCAATAGAATCAACGACTGGATTCCATAGGGTCTGAGATTTACAACACGTTATAGCACTGTGTTGGTGGAGCTGAAGTTGGTTGGATGACACTGTCAAAGTGCTTCAATGGCGACGTTGTGTTAGCAGCAGAGGGCCACATAAAGGGACGCTATTTGGACACGCCTGCCCTACCCATGCTTTTTTGCAGCCTTTAAAAAAAAAAAAGAAAAAAAGGCCTTTTATTATTGGTAATTTCATTTGGTCATGGTTCAGACTTCGTTCAGACTTCGTTCAGACTGCGTCGGCCTCAGAAAGTCCGCCGCTGATCCGTGCTTTCGCAGCAGTTCTGACGACATGAGCAGACACAGGATATGAAGCAATGACAGAGGCACCAGCTGCAGGAAGGAGCCGTCCCTCTGCAACATCTGCCCCATGATGGCTTCAACATGTGGGGCAGCACCACCACAACCACTCCTAATCACTGCTACTGCTGCCACTACTACTGCTGTTACTGCTGCCACTACTGCTGCCACTACTACTGCTGTTACTGCTGCCACTACTACTGCTGTTACTGCTGCCACTACTGCTGCTGTTACTGCTGCCACTACTGCTGCTGTTACTGCTGCCACTACTGCTGCCACTACTACTGCTGTTACTGCTGCCACTACTACTGCTGTTACTGCTGCCACTACTGCTGCTGTTACTGCTGCCACTACTGCTGCTGTTACTGCTGCCACTACTGCTGCCACTACTACTGGCTGTTACTGCTGCCACTACTACTGCTGTTACTGCTGCCACTACTGCTGCTGTACTGCTGCCACTACTGCTGCTGTTACTGCTGCCACTACTGCTGCCACTACTACTGCTGTTACTGCTGCCACTACTACTGCTGTTACTGCTGCCACTACTGCTGCTGTTACTGCTGCCACTACTGCTGCTGTTACTGCTGCCACTACTGCTGCCACTACTACTGCTGTTACTGCTGCCACTACTACTGCTGTTACTGCTGCCACTACTGCTGCTGTTACTGCTGCCACTACTGCTGCTGTTACTGCTGCCACTACTGCTGCCACTACTACTGCTGTTACTGCTGCCACTACTACTGCTGTTACTGCTGCCACTACTACTGCTGTTACTGCTGCCACTACTACTGCTGTTACTGCTGCCACTACTACTGCTGTTACTGCTGCCACTACTGCTGCTGTTACTGCTGCCACTACTGCTGCTGTTACTGCTGCCACTACTGCTGCCACTACTACTGCTGTTACTGCTGCCACTACTACTGCTGTTACTGCTGCCACTACTACTGCCACTACTACTGCTGTTACTGCTGCCACTACTACTGCTGTTACTGCTGCCACTACTGCTGCTGTTACTGCTGCCACTACTGCTGCTGTTACTGCTGCCACTACTGCTGCCACTACTACTGCTGTTACTGCTGCCACTACTACTGCTGTTACTGCTGCCACTACTGCTGCTGTTACTGCTGCCACTACTGCTGCTGTTACTGCTGCCACTACTGCTGCCACTACTACTGCTGTTACTGCTGCCACTACTACTGCTGTTACTGCTGCCACTACTACTGCTGTTACTGCTGCCACTACTACTACTGTTACTGCTGCCACTACTGCTGCCACTACTACTGCTGTTACTGCTGCCACTACTGCTGCCACTACTACTGCTGTTACTGCTGCCACTACTTCTGCTGTTACTGCTGCCACTACTACTGCTGTTACTGCTGCCACTACTACTGCTGTTACTGCTGCCACTACTACTACTGTTACTGCTGCCACTACTACTGCTGTTACTGCTGCCACTACTGCTGCCACTACTACTACTGTTACTGCTGCCACTACTGCTGCCACTACTACTACTGTTACTGCTGCCACTACTGCTGCTGCCACTACTACTACTGTTACTGCTGCTACTACTACTACTGTTACTGCTGCCACTACTGCTGCCACTACTACTGCTGTTACTGCTGCCACTACTGCTGCCACTACTACTACTGTTACTGCTGCCACTACTGCTGCTGCCACTACTACTACTGTTACTGCTGCTACTACTACTACTGTTACTGCTGCCACTACTGCTGCTACTACTACTGCTGCCACTACTACTACTGTTACTGCTGCCACTACTGCTGCTACTACTACTGCTGCCACTACTACTACTGCTGCCACTACTGCTGCTACTACTTCTGCTGCCACTACTACTACTGTTACTGCTGCCACTACTGCTGCCACTACTACTACTGTTACTGCTGCCACTACTACTGCTGTTACTGCTGCCACTACTACTGCTGCCACTACTACTACTGTTACTGCTGCCACTACTGCTGCCACTACTACTGCTGCCACTACTACTACTGTTACTGCTGCCACTACTACTGCTGCCACTACTACTACTGTTACTGCTGCCACTACTGCTGCTGCCACTACTACTGCTGCCACTACTGCTGCTGCCACTACTACTACTGTTACTGCTGCTACAACTACTGCTGCCACTACTGCTGCTGCCACTACTACTACTGTTACTGCTGCTACAACTACTGCTACTACTATTACTTCTAATATTACTGCTACTACTTCTCCTACTGCTACTACTTCTGCTACTACGACTGCTACTACTACTTCTTCTACTACTATTACTACTTCTACTACTGCTACTACTACTACTAGTACGACTACTGCTACTACTACTACAACTGTTTTCCCCCAGTGCTTTCAGTCGAGGCCCGTCACCACGGTCCCTATACCTGCTATTTTGGGCCAGTCAAACGTCCCATTATGGTCCGGTCCCACACCAGGAGAATGTGCTCATTGTTCCCTGAAAGGACAGCAAGACAAGACCGATCATGTGACACCACTGTACGCTTTTTATCAACAGAGTTTGTCCAAAAAGACTTTCTAACATGCTTCTGCAGATCAGGCTACAGATTTCTGCTGCTGAATCATCCTTGTGTAACAGATAAGAGAAGAAAGTGGGTGAACAAAGTCAGTCGAAACGTGTCTCAGTGAGGCTTGTGGGTAATGACGGGAAAAGGGAAAACATGGGCAAAAGCTGTGAAAAGCTATATTTTACAAATACAACTCAAATCATTAGGTTATTAACAACGATAACAGATGTGTTTTAACCCTTGTGCTACCCTTAGGTCAAAGTGGGCTTGTCAAGCTAGTGAAAAATCATCAAAATTCAGCTCTTAAAAAATGATGTAGGTATTTTTTGATAACTGGTTGGTCCATTTTACAGCACAATGGTTAAATTTAAAAAGAGAGATTGATTTTTTCCCCCTTACATTATAGAAAAATTGCAGAGTGAAGTAATTTTTTCTTCCGACAAACATGAATTTATAAAAGCAAGATCTATTTGGTGTCCAAACAAATTGGCCCAACTCATGTAGCCCTCTGCGTTGCTAACTATTGAGGTACTTTCACAGCATTATCCAGCCACCTTCAGCTCCACCAAAGTAGTCACGCTATACCTCGTTGTAAATCTTAGAACCTTTGGAATCCAGATGTTTGATTTGATTTGTGTGGACTGACCGATTTGTTTTTATTTGTTTCACAGAATGTAGCGGAGATATGAATCAATGAATGAATGAATGAATCAATATGAACATTTTCAAGCCTAGAACAGCTTAAATCCAGTCAAAACTGTTTCATAACCGGACTGTCGGCCCTTGGACAAGTCAGGTAAACTAAAGGCCCTCTCACTTAATAGCTGCACGTAACCACGGAGACCAGATATTATTGAGACAAGGCCAGCATTTGCATTTAACGCCACAGAGAAAAGCCATGCTTAAATTAGAAATGTATGTTTGTAGCCACTCACTCATTTTGACCATTGTGATGAAGCATACAATGTACACAGTCTCCCTTTTTCATATTTAATGTTTTGGTTTGGTTTGGACCTGAGGAAAAGCAGGAAACATGGTGCTTTTAATTGTGCTGCGGAAATTAAATGACTTTGCAGCTGCAGTTGAGGCTGTGTGAAAACTCAAAACTAAACTTGTGTGGATATATTTGCAAAAGTGTGATTATTCAGTCTGGAGGAGAGACATTTTATTTACAAATACTAATACCACAGCAGCCAGACAGGCGTTTTTAGCGTACCCTGTATTCCCATGAACATACTCACTCCTTTGATTTTTTTTAGTTTTGTAGAAGTACCATTGACTTCTATGAGGTGTTTCTATGAGGTTTCTTAGAACATTTAAGCACGTGAAAGCCAGATCCTGTCTGAAGCTAAGCGGAGCAGGGCCTGGCATTTCCTGTGATGGGAGACCTCTGGGAACAACAGGTGCCACAGTGGGGCGGCTGTACTCATTGCCAAACTATCGTTGTGTCCTTTGGCAAAACACTTCACCCTCAAAACACTGCCTTGAATGGGTCTGATGTGTGCAGGAATGGTTAGAGGTGAGTGTCAGTGTTCTGTCTGTGTGCCCCAGGGCAGCTGTACAGTTGTTGTTTATCACCACTGTGTCTGAAGCGAATGAATAATGCTGTCCAACAAACACTGTATACAACCGATAGTAATAGTTATGATCATTTCCGGTCCAAGAACAGTGGTGATGATCCAGGACACTTGACATTCAATGACATTCAGGAACCTATCACCATGTATGGACATTGGTCTCCACCGCTTATGGACCAATGGCTCTACACGTTTTTTTTCATTGCATTTCTTGTGTTTGAACGGTTTGATTCTCTGATCTGTGTTGGCGAATTCAACGGTTTTGTAAAGTCCTCCAAGATAACACTACAAAATAAATTGAAGGACACACATATAGTTTATTTTCTGCGCTTCAATCCTGAACAAATTTCCCTCAAAAGTCCGCAGTACTCTACCCAACTCTATTGTGACGAGACATGCCTGCATTACATAAGGGCTCGCTGTCAGAGTCGATCTCCTGCCCTCGGTCTGGAGCAGTCCAAAGTGCTCAGAGGGAGGCCCTGGCTTGTTTTCTAACGCATATTTGACATTCCTGGAGACTCGTGTGTGCGTGCGTGCGTGCGTGCGTTTGTGTGCACGCACGCACGCACACAAACGCACGCACACACACACACACACACACACATACACGGTGCAGTAGACTGACAAGGGGGAAATCAAAGCTGAGCAAACGGTGTGCATTTCTCTGTCTGTGCCAATTTTTTCGCTCAATAAAGCAAGATATAGTACCATTTTAAAGGATTCAAATAACACGCACGCTAACACTTGGATAATTCATTTTGTGTGAACTGTGGGTCGCGAAATTACATTTTGATGCTATGTACCTGCGCACACACACACACACAGTTGCTGATATTGGTGTGACTGTAGCTAAAACAACTCCTGGAAACAATGTTGTAACGTGGTGAAAAGTTCATTGTAGATGTAGTGTGTATGTGCCCTTTAATGGTGACAGAATGTGATTCTATTCCCTGTAATC